GCTGAGAGGAGCAACCGGAGCTGAGAGAGTCCAACTCTCTACCATTGGTCTTAATTACCTTAAAAGAAGGGTAGGATTTGAAGCAATGACCTTGCATTCCCTATCCCACAATACAACCAATATGATATATCACTGTAAATGTAGATGTGAAACTTACCTTCCATATGCTGTTAACATAGAGGATCAAGGATTATTGGAGTTAGTGATGGAGATAAATTTATTGAAGGTCGTGGTGTGGATGCGTTTGGGAACACACAAATTGTAGTCTCACCCTTCCATAATCCATCTCCGATATGGATTGACAATCAAAATTTTTCAGATCTACCATTTTGTCATCCTCACTCATGACTCTAAAAGAGAGTGAGAGAGAGACCCTTAAAAATTATCTATCTTCTGCCTTCTTTTTTTTTGGAATATGTTGATTGTCTGTCTTATACCCTTTTTTGAACCATTCATTTCAATTCAGATATTGTACCTTTTTTTTGAACCATTCATTTCAATTCATACTTTATGGAGCTTCAAATTCATGAATCTCAGGTGAAAATGGGTTTACAAATATTTGAGATATGTTTTGAGTCCTAAAACTATTGAAAATCAGGACAAATGTGCAAAAGATTTACTTCATTCAATGCCTTCTTAATAGATATTGAAATATAGTGTGAGGAGCTTATGAAATATGGACACGTGTGTCCAAAGATTTGACCATATGATGACACTTGATGGACACAGACACCTGTTGATCTTGTAAAAATGTGTACAACACTCGTATAGATTGTCCAATGGCGTGTCCCCTTTTTGGACACATTTTGTTTCTGGAATGTGGCATTTTTTTGTTTAAAGAAAACCATTATTTAATAAATAATATTTTATTTTAATAGTTCACTATTTTAAAATTAAAAAAATAGTTTACAATAAAAATAAAAATATTTTTATTTTCTTGTCTAGGGTTTACGTAAGTTATTATTCTTATAAATAAAAGTATGATTTTAATTCAAGTAGTAAAAAACCTTTTAGGGTTTCTCTCTGTCCATTTATTCCTTTCCAAATCATGGACCTATGGATCTTCATTTGACCTCTTCTACAAATTTTCCCTCTTTCCTTCTCATTTTATTGTGTAATATCTTTTTACTTGACTAATTTTTTTTTGCTATTGACAGTGTTGATCATGTTCTACCTTAGTTTCTTAATTTTAGTATTTTAGATCATTTTAATTGCATTGTCCAAGCACTTAAGTTTTACGAGTTTTGAATGACGATACTAATATTTGATAGTCTATAAATTTTGTAGTACATTTGCCTACAAAGTCCAATATTTTGCTCTTGTATCAATTTTTAGTATTAATCTTTTAGATAGCTTAGATTTGTTCATAGCAATCTAAGATTGCTCATGAGGAGGCAATATACTTCTAAATGTAATCCATGTAGATATTGGGATGTGCATCTTAGTGAAGACAACATAGATAATCCTACTGAAATTGAAATCGAGAAACATGGTGTCCAATGAATCAATTTTAGAGAAAGATGGATCTATTGCGAGTGTGAGTGGTGTGATCCCATGATTTTGTATGAATACATTAGGACCATATTCACTAACCATGCAAAAAAGGTACTACTTTTCGAATTAATAATTAGTGAAGAGTTATTAGTTTTTTTTTCATATTATTATGATGCAACCTTAGATTATAATAAATTTTTGTTGAATAGAATTATGATTGATGAAGTAACATATTTGGACTAGTAATTTAATTTATTTCTTTTATGCGTTGCTATTGTTATAACATATGCACTGTTGTATATATAAATGCAGATGTGAACTACAAATAAATTTTAATATATATATTTATAGCCATATGCATATATATAAACACCATATATATATTGTATGAACGTGTCGTGTCTAGATGACATTTATTTGAGGTCATCGTCTTTGACACTCACATCAATGTCACAAATAGACACATATATCAGTTTCTATGTAACATAAGTGGCGAGAGGGATGATCTCATAACTCTAAGAGTGTTTGATATTTTGGAGAGACGTTTTAAGAAATTTGGAGGGAAACAAGTTAGAATGGAACTTAAAATTCATTTTCTTCTTTATTCTCCTTATTTATAGTCATATTCTCACGACAATAAGGTACATGCACATTAAAAACTGAAAGAACTCATAATAAATAGTTTTAGGGGAGTGATTTCATGCAATGGTTGTATAATAATATAATGAAACAATCTTCAAAAATCATGTCAGGGCTACTTGTTTGATCCAAATTTTAAAATAGAGCAATGATCCAATGCAACAGTTGTATCATAGTATAATGCAACGACACTTCTAGACAATCATGTTTGTGCTATTTGTACGACCTCAAATTTTGCACACACACTCTCTTCATCTCAATAATCAATCCCCAAAAGGAACAGCTTATGTTAGTTGAGCTAAAAACATACTTTCTAGGTTGTGTATTTAATTTTTTATTTTTTTTTGTGATTGTTCATTAGAATGAAAATAATATATATTTCAAAATTTGGATCAAACAAATGGCCATAAGATGGTTTTTTAAAGTTGTTGCATCATATTACTATACAACGGTTACATGAAATCATTGCTCTTTAAAATATAGTATCTTTTCATTTTAATGAACAATCATAAAAAAACAAAAATTTGAAAACACAACCGAGAAAATGTTTTTTAGCCCAATTAACTAGGCCGTCCATTTTGGTGAGATACTTGGACTAGACCTTAGAAGAACTCTTTTTATTTCCAAGTATTTTAGATAATTAGATTAACAACATTAAAAAATAAAAATTGATTTCGAATTCATAAAGAGCTAGATATTGAAATTCACTAAATGGACAGTCTAGATTCATTGTTGGAGGGGACTCATTCTGACCAGAGCACAAATTAAAGTCTTTTTGATATTGATTATTGTGATGAAGAGAGTATGTGTGCACATTTTTGGATCCTATAAGCACCAGAAATATGATTTTCTTGAAGTATGGTTTCATTATATTAAAATGATATGATGACATGATGTCATTTCCCATAGTTTTACGAGGACAATGAAAGCTGGGTCAATATTAGCTCTCTTTTCCATGCGATGTTAAACATAGGGTTAGATATGCTCATTTTATTTATTTATTTTATTTCTTAAGTTGTTAATGTAGTGTAAAAAAACGTCGAAGTATATCAATTGCACTATTGCATACCATGTTTTTAGTGTAAAGGACACGTTTTATACAAGTTCATGTAGAAATGAGTCCCCTCTTAAATTTATTTTTTAGATGGATCTTTGGACCCAATTTTTAATGACATATAATGTCATAGAGATCATAAAGGATGAGGTTTCCATAAGACGCATGCTTTATGAAAACAAAATGAAGCTTCACCTTAAATCTTTATCTAGAAAGTACTTTCGGCAATGAAGATCTTTATGATGGCTCTAAAATCAATTTCTAACATCGATAATGAAATTTAAAACTTAAAAAATGGTAAAGATCCTGCGGATCTACGAATAATTATTTTTAGGGTGAAATAGATGGTCTAGATAACTTGTTATAATATACACTATTTTTAGAGCTTGAAATCCTATTTTTTTTCATAACCATAATGTTTCATGGTAAGATGATCTATGTAATGGTTTTTCAATACTTGAATTGTAATTTTCGATGAGTTATGAGATAAGGCTTATTTAGTTTGATAGGGTTATAACCCTATCAAATCATTTTTTGATCATAAATATGAAAAAATAAATAAATTTAAAAACTTAAAATAATAATTTTATGAAAAAAACATTCGGACTGTTAGTTTCAACCGTTTTTAGGTAGACCACCCATTTGCACCCATCTTTATGAAGGGTGGTTTGTAGGTACGGCAGACATGCCTCCTTCAAAGACCGGCATATCGATAAAAAATCCAACACTTTTGTCTGCTCTTGGAAATTGAAACCACCCACAACATACCATCAAAATCCAAAATTTTTGTGTGCTCCTGAAAATTGAAACCACCTACAACGTACCATCATCCGGAGAGGCAAATGTAGAAATGTGTTCTCAACGCATGGAACAAATTTTTTTAATGTAAAATCGAAACTACTACATACATAAATTATAGAGCTAAGGGACAAGCATCATTTACCTGATTAGTTTTAGAATAGGGTGTGGTTTCTATAGATAGGGTTGCAATTTTAAACAATCCAATTAAAGCGTACCTCTAAATTTTATTATAACAAGTAATTTTGGTGTAAAAATTCATTAAGATTATTTGAAATTTTTTTTTCTAATTATAAAATTTTAAATTATAAAACTAGTTAAAATCAAGTAGATCTATAAACATAGGGTGCGGTTTGTATAGAGCCTAGGCTCTAAACAATCAAATTAGAGCCTACCTTTAAATAGTGTCGAAAAATATTGTTTCAACATTAGAAATCTTTGTGATAGCCTTAAAATATATTCTCTTCTTTATCTATAAAGTTTAAAGCTTCAAAAAGAGTGAACAACATATATATGGAAACTTAAAAATCTTGAAAACTGACAGTAAAAAAATATGTTATACATTATTTCCAAAACTTGAAATCGAATTTTTTTTCATGTTCATGCATCTTAATGCCGAGATGATCGATTAGAGGATATTTGAGTATCAAAACAACCTCTCTTAGTGAAATTTTTGAGGTAGGCTCTACTTTGATGGTTTAGAGCCTGGGCTCTATATAAACCTTTCCCATAAACATATGAAAATCTTGACCTCTAGATAATGTATGGCAAGATGCACTAATTATGATACTCAAAATCATTTTTTTTTTTTCATGTTCATACATATGAGATGATCAATTGGAGGGGTTTTCAACATTAAAACAACATTTTCCGATTTTGAGGTGCATCTTTAATTCTACACTTTTTCTTTTTTTAGAATATTATTTCCTCCCCTACAAAAGAAACTATGTGTTGGCATTTTGCTGGTTCAAAAATGTTTTTGAACGAAAGCTTTTTACACATTGAAAACCCGAAATGAACCCATAGAAATTGCCGATATTTTGAATAAAAAATAGGTGAATAAATAAAACCGAGGGTTGATATATCTCCGTTTGAAGCGTGAGCCCTCTTTCGCAGAACATTACAGTTCATAAAACCAGCCTTTTTCTTTCTTTTTTTGACAATAAACCAGCGTTTTTCTTTCTTTAGCCGCCATCGACTCCACCCCTTCAACAAAATTCAAAGTGAGAGAGTAGAGATCAAACCTTGGAAGGTTAGCCATGGCGACTGTTTCTCCTCTAGCGAAATACAAGCTGGTTTTCCTTGGAGATCAATCAGTTGGAAAGACCAGCATCATCACCAGATTTATGTATGACAAGTTCGATAACACTTATCAGGTCATAGTCAATTCCCTCTCTCTTTGTCTGTCTACTGATATTTGCTTGTTGATTCATAATTCTCCATTTTCTAATCTGAATATTCCATTTTCGATGAGCAATTATGCTTTCCTTCTCTACATCTTCCATCTTTGAGCCGAAGTTCTCCATTTTAAACTTGTTTGTGGATTAGAACTCTATTCCTCTTTCTGGATGTTAAATCTGTAATTAGGAATTCAGATCTGTTATTTCAAGGGCCTACCTTGGATAAAATTTATCTGCTTCGAAATCTTATTTTGATCATCAAGTTTATCTTATTTTGATCATCAAGTTTATTTCTCTTAATGTTTGAATCTTGACTCATAACTCGGATCTTTTATATTTGTAGCCCTGTCTTCGTGTAAAGCCCTTCACTATTTATCAGATCAGCATATTATTATTTAAGTATCTCCTTTGTCTCTCTAGTAATTGATTCACTGTTATGAATTAGAAATGTTTGCTTTAACGGGCTTGATTCTCATATAAGATTTGCTATACTTGTGAAATTCATCTCTGGTGAATTCACCTGTTTCTCCATCTAGATATCTAATTATTGAAATGAAAATGAAATCTATTCACCTTTTGAGCTTATTTTCAGTATTGCTTTCAATTTTCTGATAGTAATTCTCTAAATTTCTCTCCCTTGGCCTCGTCGATTTTTTACATCATTTTATTCCGTTATTTTAACTAGCTAGTCACCCTAATAATTCCAATAATATTCAACAAACCATTTATGTAATTTACTCTTTTTGCTGTCATGGTATTTAATGATTCAATTCTGTTCCTTTTAGCTAATTCTAGAGGATCGCTCTTGTACATTTGTTTGTTTCCCTCATTCCTTGTGTTTTTGGAGCTATGGTTATTGTATGTGTAATAAGTATATTGATAGTGATCAATTTGATTTTTCTCAAAGTTCTTGTCTTCTTGATCCATTTGATTTGGTAATTAGTTTTTAGAATTATGAGTTTATGGATCCTGTCGGATTGGATTGTGAGAAATGCTTTCCTTCACCTATTTTATGATGACAACTTCCGCTAAAGGGAAGTGTTCACATTCAGATGTTTGTTAGTTGGAGCTCTCTTATATATCTAGTCCCGATGTCTAATGTGTCTTTGTTTTATTTTCCTTGTCATGAGTAATGACCATGATTTATTTAGCAGGTTGGTTTATTGGAGAACCTTGCGTCTGCTAGCCCATTAATCTTGGAACTTGTGCAAGATCCATTAGTTGAACTGCATGTTGCACTATAATTTTGTGATATATAATTATTTGGGTGATTGCCATTTCCATTCCTTATCAGGACTTTTTAAGTTGTAGCTTTCCCCTCAAATAGTTTGTTAATGCAATTTTTGATGTTTGAGGTGCCACTTACCAAACTACAATGGGTGTTGTTGCATTTTTTGAAATTCCATTCTTGATTGGTTCCCTTTTGATAATAAAACTTTGCTTGACTTTGGAATTTTCATGTTCAGTTGTGCATTGTTCGTTTGAGATGCTGCTGCACTTGCTGTGTATTTCATGTTATCGTTATGCCGAAGGTCTTCTTGTTATTAGTGTATATTTTTCAAGGTTTCTTAGTTTCCACTGTTGGTTTTTGAGTGTCACTTCAAATTTATATGACTGATGAGCATTTGAATTGGGTAGGAAATGTTAGCTTGCACTTTGTTTGTTTTTCTGAGCCTTGCTTCAGGTCGGTATTATACATTAAGTATTTTTAAGGCTTACATTGCATCGAATTTTATTTTTAGATCTAATGAAATTTATGGTTTGCAATGTCAATGAATGGATAAACACGGGAAGTTGCAAGCTTAAACTAACGGTTATGTTTTACTCTCTGGCGTTTCTTGAGGATAGCAAGGACAATCATGTGTCTTCTTGCCAGGAAAAAATAGCGTGTGAAATTTATAGTATCAATGAAGGATGTTTTGAAGTTTTGTTATGTGCCTGCTTTCTACGCAGTCCTCTTAAATGTTTTTTTCCCAAAGCAGAAATTTCTTCTCATTATTTGCTTTCTGGTTGCTATTATTTGTTATTTAACTATTTATTTAGCAGCCTAGGCATCCTGGTTATAAATTTTAGGTAATTCTTAGATTAATTCATTGCTATCAATCTTTGTTTTGGAGGACTTGTGGTTAATTGATACTTTTCTTATATAAAGGCTACCATTGGAATTGATTTCCTATCAAAGACAATGTACCTTGAAGATCGAACAGTTCGCTTGCAGCTCTGGTAAGCTTGGCATTAATAGGTTATTTTATTTACCAATAAATTGCAGCATGTTAGTTTGTTTTGATTGCAATTTATATTTAGCTATATTATAAATGAAAGAAAATTATCTTTTATCTGTTTAATGAATGGTTCCTCCTACTACTGATTGTCATTGTTATGCTTTCAATGAACTACATGAATTGGTAAGCCCAGATGTGGACTCCCTTGCACAAGTCAGAGTTAGTGAAGAATCCCTGTCTAATGGGACAATGTTTTGTGCTGATGATATTTCTATTATATATATTTATATTTTTGGTGAATCAACCTATTGATTGTGTCCTTCAAGCGACTTGATGTATACTATTTTTGAGTAGCAATGACTATTAACTATAGAAGAGTTCATTAAGGGGCCGTTTGGGTACGTGGAAATCTATAACGTGACAATAGATTATAAGGAAATATGATATTTATACTGTTTGGGTACACTTTAAAGTAAGGAAATGGAAAGACATTAGACGAGATTACTCGAGATTTCTCCAAAAATCACGAAATCCATTACGCGCGGTGAGGGGTTAAAAATCTATTACGAAGTTGACAGGTAATCTCTGGAAGGAAATCTTTTGCGTGAGTCTCTCTGCCCTATCCCCGCTTAAAAAAACATTTCCCTCTCTTAAGTATACCGTGTACCTTATAATTATTAAGGTGAGTAGAAAGTGAAAGTAGGGGATATGAAAAGGGTAATCTAAATTAATTTGAACGAGGATAATTTTTTACTGCAATCATAATAAAAAATTTCTATATCCCTCTATCCCCAATTTGGGTTGTACTCTCATATACAAACAAATTTTTTTAATAATTGGTAAGTGAAAGTAAGGGGAAATCTAAATTGATTCCTAGTATGGAATGAGTCAATCATCCACTTTGGTATCTTATTGAACCAAAATCGTGCTATTGTTCCTCCATTGATCAATAATTTTGATCTTTGGGTACCATAAAGATTTTGATTTTGTTATCATAAATTTATTGCTTATTTGAAATTGTATATAGAGAGACATTTGAAAGGCTTCTATAAAAAACATATAAAAACAAGGCTTATCACATTAAAATCATGTTATTCCAATCATATTATTCCAATGACTTATCATGTTGAAACCAAAGTCTAATCATGTTAGCCAAACATAGCCATATTTTTCATATTTGGATGGTAATGCATTTCTCATATTTCTAACAGACAGCCAAACATGAGCAATGTATTTCCCAAGTTGCATTTAAATACTACCCAAACAGTTACAATCCATTCGTGGGTAATGTATTACGCCCATAATATATTTCACAGACAATATATTTTTAGGTATCCAAATGACCCCTCAAAGTATACCACATGAACTCATCATCATCATCAGAGCCTTTTTCTAACTAATTGGGGTTGGATACATGAATTTTAGTCCGTCATTCTGCTCTATTAAGGGTCATAAGTTCGCATATTTTTTTTTACTCGTTCCAACCATTGCCTTTTGGGCCTACCATGTGCCCCTTTGAGCCTTCCACTTGAACTAACTCGTCCCTCTTAATTGTTGTACAGGGTCTGTGCTGCACATGGCCAGCCCACCTAAGTCTACTTTCTTTCATCTTATCTCTTATTGGTGCCACACCTAAATTCTCTCGAATGTATTCATTTCGAATTTTATCCATTCTTGTCTTGCCACTCATCCATCTCAACATCCTCATCTCAGCTACACTCATTCTATGGGCACGTTGTTTCTTGATCGCCAAACATTCCACCCCATAAGGCAGAACTGGTCTCTTAGTTGTCTTATAGAAATTTTCCTCCAGCTTCATTGGTATGTAGCGATGACATAAAACTCTAGTTGCACATCTCCACTTTGCCCACCCAACTCTAATTCTATATACGACGTCTTCCTCAATATACCACATGATTTAATAACTTAATATATCCTTATTGGCTTTGTTCTATATTATTAAAGGTTGGGAGTCACTACATGTTAGGACCAAAATAACATTGTTTTGGAAACAAATAGGAGTTTCCCATTATATATGTTATTTGTGTGTTTGATACTTCTATGAAGTGAAGTTTAGGGTTTAATAACAACTGAATGAAGTTTTTCTTTTTTCTTTCGGTTCCTTTTTCTGAACAAAAATGCTAGAAACACAAAACGTTTCTAGAATACCTACAACTATTGACCACTTGCTTGGCTCAGAAACTCAAGACAACTTGTCCAGTATTTTCACAAAATGGGGTGCAGTTTGCAAATGACTTTCCTTGCCTTCTAAGCCGACAAGATGCCGCTTAAGGACTTGCTGCCAATGCCTGTGAATTCTTGGGGAAACAAGGAAAACCAGTGCTAAACAAAAAGGTTCTGAGTTGTAACATTACTGAAATCTTCTACACCATGAGGGCCAGCCAAGCATCATCATCATCAAGCCTTATCCCAATTATTTGGGGCCGGCTATAGGAATTATGTTCTTCCATTCTTCTCTATCAAGGGCCATATCCTTAGTACATAGGTGTAGGATTCATGATAAGAGTGGCAAATTTTTACATTGGCTGCCTACCTAATGCACCTCTTGTACGCAGGTTTGGGATGGTTAAGGAAAATTTTAATGTCCTCACCCTTATTAGACCAAATGTTAAAAATCCAAAAGCCAGATTCCTGGATATTTTGAACTTTAAACCATGAAACTTACCAGCTCAGGGGAGCTCTCAGTAGCAAAAAAAAAAGGATGATCCAGGTATTAAGTAGTTGAACATTCCATAGTATCTGATTCAAAATATGCAGCAATGAGTATATGCATGAGTTCCACCATTCAATCACATAATACAGGTAAGTGAAACACAGACTTGGATAATAAATTGGCAAATATTAGAAACCAAAAACAGATACAACAAAACAAAAAACTATAACAGACATGCAAACCCAGACAAAATGTGGCATAGGTGTCCAAGCAGTGAAATATTGGTCATCAAAAGCTAAAACATGATGAGCAAGATCCATTCGTACCTGGAAATTTAGCTAAGCATAATATTTGAGCAGAGCTGAAATATTAGCAGAGCTTAAACACGTGTTTTAGCAAAGCTGAAACATGATCAGCAAGGGCTAGCCAAGCATAATATTTGAAAATTTAGTCTTCTTTTCTATTTACTCCATTGAAGCCTGCTTGAGCTGCCTTTTTTTTCCGAACTTCCATCAAACTTGAGCTTTAAAGACGTTCTTGGTAAGAACATTTATCCAATATTAAATATTGATTGAGGCAAGCAACCCCTGATCAGTAACCACCTTATGTTGTGATCCATCTTTCCTTCTTCACCCCTATAGCATGCAGAGAACCAAATTAAGACATCTGTGTGAATCAGATTGAGCAAATCCTATATCTGTTTCTGTGGACTCTTCACCTGTATTCCCCCCTTTCAAGATCCTTAGGTTTGTTGCTAAAACATGAGATGGGAGGATGGGAATGCTCAATTGGAGACTTGTTAATACATTCTAAAAGGTTGTTGATTATTGCAAGTTGATTAGAATGATGCTCTTAGAGTCTTAATTATGGTCTTAGGAAGCTCATTTGAGCTCTGGACAAGATGTATAAAATGGCTTGGTATTATGGCACACCCACTCTTTCCAATGGCTTGTGGAGGCTGTGATGTCTACCATTTTCTAATTATCATTGAACAAGGAAATATATCACGCTTCCTTTGTAGATGCTTAACCATTTGTTTCTTCTGTGGCTCAAGTGTATCTCCAAGGAAACTAGTTTCCGTATTAGATATAGGATTGTACTGGTTACCAACTAATTTGGCAATCCTGAATTCAGTGGGATGAGAAACAGAGTGTTCTTTGTTACTGAAGGATTCAGAGTTCAGAAAACGGTGGTGGCTGGAGAAGAGGTTTGGGGTAGAGGGGTTATTGGGGTAGAGGTGTAGGGTTGTTCTGAGCACTGTATTGAATAATAGGCAGCCTCGGAGGCTATCTTTCTCTTCAGGGGATAAAGGGCTTGCCATAGGTGGATGAAACTGAATTTAGAAGAATGAGAGATTGTGAGATGGCGCTTGAAACATCCATCAACTTGGCAAAGAGGGAAACTCTTTTTCATGGATTTTTGTACACATTCAAATGAAGTTGTGAACAAAATAACTGAACTGCTCCTTTATTAATAATTCTAATACAAAAGATCGTAACTATGATACATAAGATCATAGTGCCTCTATTCTCTTATATAGATCTATGGCAACTACCTTTTGGTGTGATAGATATATCGTAGTACAGAGAGCTGGAATGAATCTAATGATATGCACGAAACTAGACTTAGTCATGTAAAATGTATCTGGTTGTCAAAGACTTACTGCACTCTGCTGCCTCACATGTGCCCATGGATGTACAAAGAGTAGATTGCATCACAAGGTTTCTAGGTCAAGATAATTGTTACTACATGTTTAGATAGGCGAGCCTATTGGTGTTAGAAAATTAAAGTACTAGTGAAGTTCGCTTTTTTGTTTTTCAATTGCATTATGTCCAAATATGAATTACCAAGGTTCATGCCTTTAGATTGATTATTTGTACGTGTGAGCTTTCCAGTGCCTTATCATTTCTTCACGTTATTACTCATACATGATAAAGTTTCATTTTAACAGGGATACAGCTGGACAAGAGCGATTTAGGAGTCTTATTCCAAGCTACATCAGGGATTCCTCTGTTGCAGTCATTGTATATGATGTTGCAAGTATGTGATTGTTCTAACTGGTTTGATATGGAATTATGGCAGGATCATGTGGTGATATATATAGGAAGTTAACAATTGGTTTGTATATGCTCAAGTTCTTGTGCATGAATTATTATCATGATTCCTGTGCCTGTGTGCATACTTGCATGTTTACGTACGTGTATTTTTCAATTCTCTGGTAATGGTACATAGGACTGGGTTCATTAGGATTAGTGCAACACTGCAACGAAATTCATGCATGTGCATTTTTGTCAGGAATTGCTCCTCATGAACCCTTTTGTGGTCCTTTTATGGCCTTGCTCATTTTGCAACTTTTCCAACATCACGAGTAGTTGAAATGATCTAACATGGAAAACCAAAAAGATCCGCAAAGTAATTGCATTTAAGTAGTGCTTCATATATCTGCTTCATTTTTTTCATCAAATAATTATGTTTTAGCTAAGCTTGGATGCAAATTATTCCCAGATTCTTAGTGCAGTACATTCTCTGGGGTTCCTCTTGTTGAATATTTTTCTTGGTTAAGGTATGGAGAACTGATTTATCTTGTTTGTAAGAAATTGACTACCCTTTGCATTGCTATGTATTTTATGTATTTCAGGCCGACAATCATTTTTGAACACTTCTAAGTGGATTGAGGAAGTACGCACTGAGCGTGGTAGTGACGTTATCATTGTCCTTGTTGGAAACAAAACGGATCTTGTGGACAAGAGGTGATGGTTTGCGAGTTTAATTGACTTTGAATAAGTTATTATTGTTTTATATTATTCTTAATTCCCATTATCTTCTTTATGATGAAATTTTCATTCATTTCCGTAAATTGACTGGTATGCCTTATTTGACGTTTGGCTGATAAGCCTTGTAAGTCTTTACTGGTTTACCTTCTTTGACTTGTCTCACGTTATTATTCTGATATTAAATCGAGCTGAGTATCTTGAGTGCATAATAATTGTGGAAAATATTTTTTACAGATGTTGTTTTCTATTTATTTTGCAAGCAAATTAACCTAACGTCATGAAGGAACCCCTTTACATAGATGTCTACATATGCATCCCTGCTACATGAATCATTGTTGTTTCGTCATCGTCATCTTCATCGTAATATAAAATAACTTGGTTTTGCACAGTGGCTAACGCTTGGTGTGTCAAGAGAACTCTGGACATCTATCCAGGTTCGAAAACTTGGCTTGGGTTCAGGACTTAGGCCCTACCCAAACCTGAGCCAAGTTACTCGGGTAAGTGAGAGTGGACATGCCCGAGTAGTGTACTTGCCCAAAAATGGGGTAAGAAATAAAAGTAAAAATAAAAAGCTAAAAATATAAAATCAGTAAAAATAGAAGTAAACTATAAACAGTTCGTACCAGAGTTTGTGTCTCTGCAGGGGGACTGAGTCCGAGTAACTTGACTCATTCCAAGTGTATGGGCTGAAGCGCTGTTCTCATTGGATGAATGTCAGATGCTAGGATCTGTGACTATGGTTTCCTCTGTTTTTTCTTTTCTGCCCCCCTCCCCCAATAATTTCCATTATTTTGTCATCTAATTTACCTAAGAATATTCCAAACTTGATCCGTGATGGTATGCACCTCATTTAGGTAGGATAATGATATTTCTGTCATTACCTGGCTGTGTAATGTGGTATCTAACTTTCATGGAGTATGGTTTGCTTCTACCCTTGTTTTAGAAATGGTCTTATTTCCTCAACATATATCTAGTAAATGGTTGCATTTCCTATTAACAGATTTTGCATGTGTTCTACTTGATATTCCTATTCTCCCATTGAGTGCCTTACCAGTTGCAACTGTGTTGGGGGTGGTTGGGGGGGGGGGGGGTGGGGAGAGAGAGAGAGAGAGAGAGAGAGACTGTATCCATTTCTAAGGTACCATACATCAATATTTCAGTACATATCAATCAACTGTCTTGAGCTTCAACTGTCTTAGAGACTGTATCCATTTCTAAGGTACCATACATCAATATTTCAGTACATATCAATCAACTGTCTTGAGCTTCAACTGTCTTACGCTTTGTGCTTTACTTTTTGTCACAAGGTACTATATAATTAAGAATTTTTTGCTTATCAGTGTATTTATATGAGGTTTGTTTGTAACAGGCAAGTTTCAATTGAAGAAGGGGAAGCCAAAGCGCGTGATCTAGGTGTGATGTTCATCGAAACAAGTGCCAAGGCTGGATTTAACATTAAGGTTCTGCTCTCTCCTTGGGCCTAATGTGAATTCCCTTTCATTCAATGATTCTGTATTAATAGACTAGAAAGAAAAATATTATGCTTGATTCTAAACTTTTAACTTAAAAGCTGCCACTACACTTATGCAGGCTCTGTTTCGAAAGATAGCTGCTGCTCTTCCAGGAATGGAGACTCTCTCTTCGACAAAACAAGAAGACATGGTTGACGTGAATCTCAAGGCTACGAATGCAAACACATCACAAGGCCAGCAACAAGCAGGCGGATGCTCTTGTTGAAACTAGTTTCCATCTTCATCGGTGTGCTCTGGTCCATTCGTTTGTGGACTCGGCTCAAGTTGTTTCTCTCTTTCCAATTTGGCGGATTAATGTGCCAAACCCTTGAGAAGTGCAAGTTTGAAATTTCAGAGAGAGAAAGTTGGCTGTTATCGCGGGAGGGGGCTTCCTTTTCATGGTAGAGTCCAAAGAGATAATTGCATTCGTATATGGAATTGTTTGTATTCAGACACGTTGGGAAGGTTTGTTGAGAGGCTTGGCCGTCTAGAATATGCATATCCATAACCTTATCATGATTTCTGAATATGGTAGTTTGAGCTGTAGCGCTATATATTTAGAAATCCTTTTTTCTTGTTTTAGAGAGAGAGAGAGATGGTTGGATCTCAAACCTACAAGTGGTCCTAGAGAGAGAGAGAGAGAGAGAGATGATTGGATCTCAAACCTACAAGTGGTCCTTGCGAACCCATGTATTCCCTTGTTCATTTCTGGTGGATGAGGAGCTGTTGCCCATTACTTAGTATCCTTGTTGAGAGAACTGGTGGATGAGGAGCTGTTGCCCATTACTTAGTATCCTTGTTGGGAGAACGACTTACTTTGTGCTTTATGGACGCTAGTAGGTGGTATTCCACATCAGATGAAAAACCTTTTACAGTCACACTTTCGGCACCAGTTTACATGGCGTTGTTTGCCATGGAAATATACGACAGGAAACTATTTTAACTCCTTGGAATGATACAGCAGTCTCTTGTTGAAAGGCCCAATTCATAAATATGCCATGTAGTGAGTATAGATTGCGGGCGCATTTCCTTGACCCCTCACTTTTATCTCAAGTAGAAGTGGGAGTTAGATTCATGTGCAAACCTAAAAAGTGGGTGTGTTAGATTCTACGCTTTACAGAAACTTAATCCAATAAGAAATGGGGATTTGGATCGTATCTTGGATGCGGAGGTCGAAACAAGGGGTGAAGCCCACCAGTCCTCAACCACGTAATGGTCCTGGCCTTTTTGTCTTCTCCGTGAGTCGCACCACACCTGCGTTTGACTTTGGTGCGTGTGGTGATATTTGTTTAGTACCTGCGTTTGAAGTCAAATGTGGCGTCCCATCTTGTTTGTAGGGATATTAATATTTTAGGGCTTAGAGCGGTTGGAAAAAGATTTGATAAATGGCTATCCCACTTGGAGAGAGAAACAACCTCTGAGATCTCATCAGAGATTCATATATAGAGAGAGAGAGAGGCGGAGCGAGTAGAGAGAGAAAAACCAGTGAGATCTCATCATCAGAAAGATGAGAGAGAAGCGAATGCGTTGTATCTCCATCCAACGTCTTACTGCCGCTCGGTCAGGCTGGAATTACAGTTAATACTGCCGCTCGGTCAGGAAGCATAAGAGCCTGAACCGCATAATACAAAACTGGGACCTAGTTTCTCATACCCCATCCACCTCCTCAAAAGGCCCACAGCCCAAGTGAGAGAAACGCAGTACCGAACAGGAAAATATAGACAGAGTAAAACACAGTGAAAGAAAGACAAAGAGAGGAGTGGTCCTCTTGATTCTTCATCTTTTCAATGGATGCGAGGCTTAAATACCAGCAACCTGACAAGGACGAGGGCAGCCAAGGTAAGCTTGAT